CAAACCAAAAAATTGATTTTTAACCGTTGAAGAGGAAGAGTAGCAGCCATTATTGATTGGTTGTGTCAGGTGGGGCCCCAACTTTGAAAAAAAGGCCATATTTCTGATGAAAATATGATGGAAAGCCCCTCCATACAGAGTCTAAAGCTTTATGTTTCACCTTGTTGGCAAAACATTTTCTTCTCAGTTTAGGGATGTAATTTTCATTCTTGACAGATAACTTTCAAGATAAAGAGACGAGGAATTTATAGGCACAAAATTTCCACATAAATAGCATTTGGTTTTTATCGTTGACCAGGTTAAGAGATAAAATCACATATTAAATAAAGATGAAAACATAGACCAACTTACAATGAGCGATTCGATTCTATTAAGACTCAAATAAAATAAGCACATGAATTTCAAAATTGATTTGTCTAAATGAGCTATCATCATGCGGGATATGTTAATAGATAAAATCTGACATCGAATAAAGATTCAATCATTTAAGAACTTGGTTTGGACTACTTTTCTTAATAAAGTTGACTTTTTAAGATGGAATATTAAATCTTAATAGAAGAAATTGCAAGTTTGGTCTTCAACCAAGAAAAGGAAAAGATTGGTCTTAATATTTCAAAATAGGTGAATATTAGTCCACTTTGACCGTTTAGATCGTTTTACGGTCAAGTCTAAAAATGTCAATCACGCAACAAATTTTTGTAGGAGAAAATGGGTAGTATGCTCGATTAAAATAAAAAAGCAAGTAAAATTTTTAAAATTTGTTTTATATTTTCAATTTACCCTTGTAATAATTGGTTGGCCACTCGAGGACTTACTAGTAAATTTCATGTAATCGGTCTATTGTAAATAACGGTACAATTCTAATAAAACATAATTAAGTGAAAACTGACTTGCTCTTCAAATAATAGATGGTGATTAATAGTGCAATTTTTCAATTATAATGTCTCCAAGACTAATATTTAATATTTTATTCTTCGACTTTTGTTGGAGATTGGTGGCGTGGGGGGTTTCTGGGATGCAAAGGGTGGGATGCAGAGGGGGGGATGTATGATGGGTAGGGGCTGTTAAGTGGGGCTCCCGCTTGAGGAGAGTCACGAGTGCGAGTACAAGTTTAACAGTGCCGCTCACACGAGTTGGCTCGTAGACGGGCACTCATGAAAATGTAATTTTCAATAAAAATAAAACTTAACGAGATATATAAGATTAGTAATCAAACAACTCAAATTGAGTTTTTCTAACATATATTGTTTTGATAGAAATCTATATTGTGACATAATTGATCGAAGATAAAATTTAATCAACTTTTACTTTAAAAAAGTTCTTTCGGTAGAGACAAAAATGACATGAATAGTCAATAATCTATAATATATTAAATAGGGAAATTACAAAAAATCAAGTGTTTAAAGATTGAATTTTAAAAATCATGTGTACAATTTATTTATTCAAAAATCAGGTACTATATTAAAACTTTAATTCACCTCTCTTCTCCCTCCTTCCCCTTCTCTCCCTCGTCTCTCTCTACAAGTTCATCACCCTCTCAATCTCCATTGCCTTCTCCTCCTGCACCTCCCACTTCTCTCGTCGGTGCACCTGCCGCTAATCCTCCATCTATCGCCTCCGCACCCGGTAGCGCCGCTCCTAACTCCTCACCCAACGCCGTTGCTTTGAATAGAGTATCAATTGTTGGATCTGCTGCTGGAATGTTCTTCTTTGCTGCATTTTTTCCTGCATTTTTTCTCTAGATCTACTGATCTAGTTCGAAATATTCATGTTTCTGGCGAGCATGAAGAATATGGTTTTGTTATTGTTCGATTTGTTGTTGGTGTGTGGTTGTGTGTTGGCAGATCTGTTGTTGGTGGTGTTGATAGTCATCCGGCGGCAATGGTGGTGTTTTATGTGGTTGGATGCGACGGTGGTGGTGGTGTGTTGTGTGGTGGTGTTTTGTGTGGTGGTAGTTGTTGCGATGGTGATGTTTGTATTGGTTGTCGTGAGACTGTGGTGGTGATAGTGACGGCGGGGTGAGGGTGGTCAAAAATGGCTGAGGTAGTATTGCCAGTGGTATGTGACCAATTATTTGTTTATCTGTGAACAAGTATTTAACTGTGACCTAAAAAGTTGACAATATGTGACTGAAAAATTTTTTGTGACCAATAAATTTGAAAATATATGACCAATGAAATTAACTATGATCTATAATTTTTTGAATTTGTGACCTCAAAATCATCATTGACTAATTAATTTGATAATATATGACCAATAAATAAATTATAATCTATAATTACGTATATGTAACCATTAATTGTATAATTGTAACCTAATTAATAAATATTTTTAATTAATTAACAAAATACCTGAGTTTTGCATTTTTTA